TAATATAATTCAGACGTATAAAACTAAAATCGTAAAAACTTAAATTATATTGCTGAGCCGAGTTTCTGCAAAAATGGTTTTGGTTATTATTGTTTTATGAACGATGGACATTTCAGAGCTAAAAAATCTTATATAATATATAATATTACTTTATAGGTTATAGGTACTATTTCTGTCCCGATTTTAAACGAAAATTTTATACAATGAGTCCCGAAAAAATATTATTCTTTCAGTAATACTTAGAATATTGAAGCATAAATTAAAAACGTAAAAAATCAATAAATGAGTTTAGTAGGTACTTACGTTTAGTACTTAAGTTTTCTATGAACGTGAAAACAGCGTAGATCTCAACATAATGCACATTATCACGTTTTGCGTGTGGTCGTAATCACGAAATTTATTCGAAATCGCGGTCACGTCATAAACTTCTAAATAAATCATCTACGGACGGCCTCGCTCCACAGTAAAAATTGTAGACAACAAATTGTAATACTTATATATTAACCTACCGCTGCAATATGACTATTTACAGACTCAAAACATATTTTTTCGGTTGAATTAATCCAATATTATTCACTAATATTAGTATGTATTGGCGTATTGCTCGACATCCTAATGAATTAAATTTTTCCTCAAGATTTCGATGTAAACATTTTGAAGAAAAATCTCACCCACATTGAGGTGTCACAAGCTGACGAGGAAGGAAGGCCTAACTATAACTACCTTCTAATTATGGTTGTCAGAGTTTTTACTACATTTCATTTTTTTAACACTATTGTTTTTTTGTTATTTGTCATATTATTCGTAATACCATCTTGAAAAATAAGCAATTACTATTATTGCTTACGTTGAATAATTTTTTTTTTTAAATAAAATATAGAACTGTTGATAACCCAATACACAGTTGGTTGTCACATCATCCTGAGACAAGAGCGCCCGCAGGGGGTTCTAATAGGGGTATGCCCTTCTGGGATTCTGTTAACTGTGCGTAATTTAATAGCATGGATAATTTAGCACATCACAATATAGTTTATAAAATATTTCTGGAATAAAAAAAGCTAACAATGATGTTGTATGCTATACCACAATAGAAATACTTATAGTAGAAGTATACCGAAATATAACAATACACTCATTCGGCCATTTTGATTCTGCGGGCGCACTTGTATTGGGACTAGTTGTACCAGGTATATCAAATAATAAACAATATAAAAATTAAACTTTTAGTTTTCAATGTATCAAATGCAAGATTACTCAATGTAAAACATTAAACCCATAAATAATAAGCTACAAGTTAAGAAAACTAACTGCAAATTAAAATCATATTTAGTTTAAACCTTTTAAACACCTGTGCCCCTTGTCGTTTGCCCTATTTTATGTTATGAACAAATTACGTTTCTATGACAAATGACAATATTATCGAGCCATTTTATAGCCCTGAAGGCCCAAGGATATCGGAGGTAGGGTGTTACAAAACAATAACAAAATTATTTATTTCTAAGCGTTTTCGACATTATAATATCACGATTGTTCGCAATTCCATGCAATAATAATCCACCACTGGCCGGTATAAAACATTTTGACTTTTTATTATTCCTATGCCAATCTAATCAAACAAACATTGTTCGTGACTTACAGACTTGTCGACGCGTTATAAGCAGTAATGGTATTCGATAAATGATTCACGTCGTTACATGGTGGAATACCACTCTTTTAGTGCAACAATAATAATTTAATACGTGCGAAAAATAAATGTAAACACCATAGAGTTGCAGTCTCGCCAATTGCGGTCAGCAATGTCAAACCAGTGAACACAAAAAACATACCAATAATAATTATAATAATAATTGCTTGAATCTACTAGTATTGTATTGTTCTTTTCCCTGGCCAATATATTTATCAATATTATTAGTCGTCCGAGGAAAAACTGGTACCTACAGGTGCATTTTCGATACTTAAACGTTTTATCGCTATTCGCATTTATTTAATGCGAAGTAAAACATAAACAATAACAGTGTAATAAATTATATAAATATTACATACCCAGTACAAATATGTAAGTAATTGTTTATGTTTTCAAACGTTTCAGTCATGTGGTACAAACATAACAATATTGTGTCAAACTATAGAATTGATATTTCACATATTATTCCATTATAGATCAATATAGGAGATTGCAGTAGTCGACGTCGTTAAGGGAAGATGGTAATTTGCACCAATTTTAGTACTTGTAATTTGTTCCACTAATTATAGGTACGCATTTAAATATTAATGAAGGTAATTTACACTACGACACAAGACGGAATTACATATTATATTGTAATCTGCGTCATACTTCAAATTTAAATTGTTGGAATTCACCTTATAAATTTACCCGAGCTCACATCAGTTATAGCTCATTAAACGTAAATAAATAGCGTGGAATATTCATTTTAACACAAACAATTGGACAATGAATTATAATGTTTCTAATTTTTACATATTTTATTATTAACTGAAATATTACTCATCTATGCATAAAGTTCGTAGGTACCTACAATTATAATTAGCTTAGATATTTAATTTTTTCTTTTATGTACATTTGGTTTTCTTTACCTATTGAAATGAACTTCATTGACAAATGATTTAAAATGTATATTATAAATAAGTTTATAAATTATTAATTATTATTTTAAAGTGGCGCAAATTACCAAAATTAATTTTTAGCTCAATAACATACGCTCGTGTAGCCTTCGTTTCTCCTCGATATTGCTGTGAACGCCGGGTGTCGCAGCTGAAACAGCCTCTCTAAGTCCGAAAGTTGGTTCTGCGAATTATGTCCTGTACCGGCTACAATATTAAGATCGGTAATACGGGTCGCGAGGACGGGTCCAGGGTCGCAGCCAACCCACGACTGTGTACCCACCCCTGTAAACGGAATTCGCCTGTGTATGGGTTTAGTGGTCTGTCGTTTCGCTAAGGGAATCGGTGGAACTATAACCGACTTTGCAAGGAATTTCACAGTGCGCGGAGAAAGGCCACAGCGGCAGACTTACGGTATGATTTCGGTACCGCTCTGGCCCTTCCCTGGACCATGAAAATTGCACTTCATCCATCTCACGGTCAAAATAATGGTCAGCAGGAAACCCGGAAATCCCGTTGTACATGCAGATGCGTGTTTTATTATGGCCATGTAATATTGTGTCATGTTCATACCTATACTAGAAATTCGATCAAATGCCTTCGAATAAATAATATTATCAATCTGTCGTTCAAACAAATTAGATGATTTCGTCTTTCGAAATGTATTATCGCTAACGAATAATTCTACCGGCTATTATGAACCTAAACTGTAAGAGAATATTGTGTAAAAAATAAAGAAGAAAGAAGTGTATTAATGTACCGCGTTGTTCGGATAAAATGTAGTCGATTAAATTTAGTTGTTGATGATGGTTTTTTTCCGAAATCCTTTTTATCTTTTTCTGTGAACGATTATTATGTCGGGCAGAGACAGCGTTCCGAAAGCCTCGAGTAACCCGGAATCGTTTTTCGAACGCAGTACGAATTATTGTCATTTTCAGTATTATGATAATATTATCACAACTCATGTGTATTAGTATAACACACCCGTATCAATTATGCCCACCCAACTGTAGCGAAGTTTTTTTCATCAAATTGTTCTTTTATAATATAATATTTTTTTATTTTATTTTGAGTGAACATTTTATTATAAACGCGTAAGATAAAATAACTATTTGTTAACAGCGCTTATCAGTGGCCTCCACAGGGGGTACAGGGGTTTTGATCCATCAAAATTGGTGGTGGTTGGCTTTTCAACTGTTAAAGTTGCTGGTGGATTATATTTCATATTGTGTGTTGAACTATATTTTATGTCTTATTAATGTAACAAAAGCGATTAAGACATTTTTTATCCGGTATATTTCATAGGCGGGGTGTGGGTGTACCTACCCCAATATGGTCACTGTTTGTGGAAAACGAGTGTGCTCTGATTAGCAATTAAACGAAATATGAAATCATTTACACTCACTATACACACTTCAACTCTGTTAGAGATCATAATATTATGCATATTACCTATTATATACTTGTGGCTGCAATATTTATAAGTGTACCAATGACAATATTATGCAGTTGTTAATATATGCGTCACCGAGACTCTAGAAATGAAAATAAAAACCTGAAATAGATATTGACCATCGGCCGACGGGGTTAAAGGTGGTCAAATCGGAACAATCGTGGAGTAAAAAAATTCAATCCAAAATCAATCCATTGCTGTAATAATAGTGTCGTCGGGCACACCACAATTCGAGGTATGTCACTGCACGGGCCGAGAGTTTGGCAACGATGTGTAATAATATTTGCTATAATAATAATGTATTCAGTGAGTGAACAATGATAATAACATAATATATGAATTGTGCAGTGTCTTTGGGTTATCGATATTGTCACTCTTGATTGCTGCCGCTACGTGATATTCGCACCTGACTGCAGCTCACTCACTTCGCGTCCGTCGTGCTAGGTACTCGATGATATTATATTATTATTTTCCACTGGCCGCAGGAAAACCAAAATACAAACTCGACTCGTATAATATCATATCAATATTATGTAGGTTGTGTGTATGGTCTAAAAATTGTATTCTTTATTGTATCATATTATATTATAATAATATTATACATATTATAACTATACAGTATATATTTTATTATATTAGCATGAATAAACATTAAAGACAATTTATATAATAATAATTTTTAAATTTGCCTACTTAACTATACAAATCACAGTCGTCAAAATGAAAAAATAAAATAATAATAAAAATAAAATACAACTAAGGCAATACATAAGTGAAAACATTGTAAATAATAATAATAAAAAGTTTCCGCTAATCATTATATAATAATCTTTTTCTCCAACAACTCTCATACAAAACAATACAATTTCCTAACAAATTTATCCAATTCTTCTATATTATATTATTATTGAAATTTATTATTACGTTCAACGTCGAAAAATATAGGAAATTTTATTTTTTATTTAGCAAGCAATTCTCTCACCCGCTGGAAGCCCAATATGAATATCCGATGACGACCACACTCGCGTGCAGTGCCCACAATCCCGTTATCGGTGTCGTAGCGTCTGCTGCATATATATTATGTTGCACATAGCATAAGTGCATTCACACGATATCATATATATTACGTCTCACGGTAAAAAAAAACGCGTTACACAAAAAAACGTGTCTCTGATAATAATAATAATTTAAAAAATAAATGAACAATATCATATATATAATAATAAATATTATGTCGGCTCGTTCTTCCATATACGTTCTTCGAGGGTCGTTATTTTTTTTATTTCCCTCTCTCACTCTCTCTCATTTTTTAAAATCTAAAATCCGATTCCATCTTGAAACGACGACGACAAAATTACGACGGTAATTAATAATGACCTATATATAATATAATATTACCTATGTACTACACATAAGCTACTTTATATTATAGTATTATTATTATTAAATTAATAAATTGTTTACTGTTTGTTCGTGTATTGAAATATTATTTTAGACAATAGTCTACGTACGATGTATTATGGCGTGAAAATCGTGCTCTGGAGTCAGCCTTTTTTGTCATTCTCCGGCTTGACTCATAAAAAAAAATAAAACCATATCGCCATGAGTGAGAAAAGTAAAAATAAGAATTACAAATAAAAAATGTGGAACTAGTGAAAATACAAAATCTTGCTTCGAATAAACGAGCTTAACAATATAATATATATATATAGACAGATTATTACGGATAAGTGTTCAAAACTAAACTAAACGAATATGTACATTGTTTTTTTTTGTTTTATAGTAAGTTTACATTATTTTAAAATATAAATTATTATTATGTATTGCTCGAGAACAACAAATAAACCGTTAAAAGACAAAGTTAAAAATTGGGTTATTTCGTATTAGTATAATAATATAAGCCTAATGGTATATAATATATATATATATAATATTATATTAACGATTGTTATTACAAATTATTGCGCTTGGTTTTCGACAACAAACATATACAAACATATATAGGTTACAGAGAACATTTTACACATAAATAATATCATATGAATACAAATTTTATCAGTCTAAAGGACGTAAAAAAAAAAACAAATATATAATGACGACAAATTAAAAAGTAGTCTCATTTTGGAAAAAAGAAAAGTTTAAAACAATTAAACGATTAATTTGTGTCCAGAAGTGTTATAACTTGTACATATATATATATATTTTCGAAAAGGTACCCTAAAGAAAAGCCGAGTAAATCCAAGAACAAAGTTTTACTTAACAACAATATATAATAATAACTTAACGCGACGAAAACAAAAAATAAAAAGTATGTTCAAAAATATATCCTCGTCTGCAGCTGCTGCAACGCGGGGATGACCATCATGCACACCGTTATCAATAGGGGTGCGTGCAGTCGTGTAGACGGGGCGGCGCCCGACGGTTCGTTGCCGTTCATCACAACGTCCGGTCTCGAATTCGGTCCCGAATTATCAGTCGGTTTGACTGAAAAAAAAATTCAAAAGATTAAAACATTGAATTAAGCGATTATTGTCACGATGCACCCATACAATATAATTATGTGTTATTATTATTGTTGTAACGCACGTGCGAGTTGCCGTTTAAATATTTAACTATCGCTGACGATTACATAATAATAATTGAAGTGCATGAACTTTATTATTTAGTTATTTGTTTAATACAATTTCGTAACATATGATTACTACTGAGCCCTACTGAGAAAACTCGTGTGAGAACCCAAGAGTTCCAAATTCCAACATCAATATTTAATAGGTACATGATAAAATATTATAATCATTTTGCATTGTAAAAATAGAATTATAGAAATAGATTGACAATAATAATGAAAAATTATCAAACATAGTTTACAGTTACAATATTCTTGATGTGTGATTACTATAATGTCAATACTTCTGGAGATCGTAATTATTGCCATTGCGAAATGTGTTTTTAAATCAATTATCGGAAGATTTATTACGTAAGATGGTATTATCTTATTACATAGTTGGGTTGTTTCGAAATGTCAACTAGATTTAGTTATTTGTTTTTCAACAATAACAGCTGTGATAAAACATTATGTATTTATATGCGCATGCGTATTATATTGTGAAAAAACGATACTTACATTGTGAATCGTCGCCGTTGGGTAACTGAGTGGTGATCGGATTTTCGCCGGAACCTTCGCCCGATGAGTAGTCTGCGTTATCGTCGTCGTCGTCCCAGCCGGAGTTACCTCCCCTGCCAGTGCCGCTGCCTTCGCCGGACCCTTCGGCCTCGTCGGCCATGAACGAGTCTGATTGTGGACTCGAACTCAATTGGTTCAATACAGTCTGGAAATCGTTAAGTAAAAGATGAAAAATATGGTTCTTGAATTGCTTGAATTGTAGTAAAGAGAATGTATAGTGGAGAACATTTACGAAAAGGTGGGAGGTGTCGATTTACTTCCCAACTCGAGTTTTATATTGTTGTATCGAAAATATCTTAACAATTATAACAGAGTCGAAACCTTTATACCTATCTATTAACTTCTGTAAAAATGTTTACCAAGTCCCATCTCATATCCGATCAACGCATATAATACGAATCGAAACATAATATGATATATAATATCCAAATGTTATTAATTAAATATTGAAGATCAGACGAAATGCATTAGTAATTACTAGACTGTCACGCGTAAACAATCGGTAATTTTTCGAATTTTTCGAATTTTCTGTTTTTTTTTACCTTTCTACAGGATTATATATTGTTAGTTTCTAGAACCGAACTACCGAAAGAGTTAAAACAAACAATTAATTGTTTGTCTACGTTTCAAGCCCGTGTATATTAATCTTCATTAATTTCTGGCAAGTAAATTCAATATATTATTATATTCTACCCATATTATATGTTAATAATATTACTGCTATATCATGTTGTCCCTCGACACGCTTCCTATACAATATCAGCCGTCCATAAATCACGTTTATTGCTCGGTTAATGATTTTAAACGATCTCTCGTCCGACTAATACGTATATAATACCATTTTCTTCCCACCCCTCTGCGATATAGGTATACGATTTATCCGATCGTCTAAAGAATAACGCGAGAACACTGCATCTCCTATACATCACTATTATATTATATTCTGCACACCAAAGTGAGCACACCAGCATATCACGCTACTCACTTGTCTGATGTGCCTGAGCTTGTCGATGACTTCCGCCTCTTTGTTGTCTTGTGTGTTGATGGAAGCCGTCCAATCGAATTCCGGGTTGTACATTTGAGCGCTCAACAACGGACCGACGACGTTATCCGTATACCTGAGCAACATAAAAATAAAACATCGTTATGAATTGTATATAATAAGTATATATCATCGTGTACGGTGATGATAACTATTGTTTTAATGAATAAATAATAAATCAATAGGCAGATCGATAACGAGCCCGTGTCACGAAGGTCAGGCGAGTCGGTGGAACCGAATTCGGCGATAATAACTATTACTGACAATTGCCGCACGCGCGTCTTGTTTGGGCATACGGTGATAATATATTATTATTTCGTAATATCATCGTATGATGTACCAACTACAGTGGTCAATATAATCGCCGAAGATGGCACGTCTCACCCGAATGTTTGTCTCCATCTTCAAGTGGCTAACACTATAATGTAGACAATTTATGTTTTGCGATTTAGCTTCGTTTAGCTCTGTTAGTTTTAATATTAGTCTGTGTCGGTTATTATTTCACTTAAAGGAAGGTAAAAAAATATTCAACGTTACGGCCTTATAAGACGGAGGTGACACATGTGGGTGGAGACGTTATCTTGACAATTCATGATCTTATTGTATTGTTTATAATATATTATTGAATATAGTTAGGTCCATAAGACTGTCGTACAACAGAAAAAAAGATATCACGTGGCAATAATATATGGCAAATTGGCAACAAATATAATGATAATAATCAGAGTCGGGCAGTACACTGACCCATGGAGTATAAAAAATATGTATATTAGTCCAAAAGAGGGGGGCCGTGGGGGCTGCAGTCCACCTGAAAATATCAGGAAAATTTAAAAATGCTTTTAGTGTTCTGTAAACGTATTAGTCGTATTACCATACTAAGTTCACGGAACACTAAGATAAGTTTTGAATTTTTCTGCAATTTCTAGATTTGCTACAGCACCCTTAGTTCCTGCGCTGACTACGCCACTGTTGTAAATACACTCACTCTCCAACCGCTCGTCCGTTCCAGCAGTCCGTCGTCGTGTAGTTTGTGCACATGGACCGTGCCATGTCCGAGAACAGTCCCCGGACCCTAACCGCGGTTTCCGGGTCGGAGAACTTGGTCAACTTGGATGTAAGCAGCGCGGTGCTAAGGTCCTCTTCCTCGACGTTCCACACTTCCTGGCTCTCCGGCGTCTTGGCCACGCCCGACGACGAAACTGTAGCCGGGGCTTGAGTGTTCCACCTCGCAGGACCGCAGAAGTATTTCACCTGTAATCAAATATGACTGTTGAATAATTGTTTTTTATTGGACCTCCCTAGATACTAGTGGACCATTGAACATAATATTATATTATATACCTTTTAAAGAATAACATAATATTTTACGATGAGATGAGTTAACTCGTTAAAACAAAGTTCGTTCTACGTTGCAGAAATAACAATTACATTTTCATTGATGATGATACTCCGACTAAACATTTATTTTTATAATAAAATACAAAACACGCAATATATTTATGAGGTCGTTCATAGTTTTTGATTATTTTGTTTCTATACGAATTAATTTCATTATTATTATATAAATTAATGAAAATCTATTCAAATAATGCAAAACGATGGTTTTTTTTAACATATAGGTAATATATTATATTAACCAACTAGAATATAGCAGCAAACAATACTAAACAAATTACGATATTAACGTTTGAATAAAATTCACTGTTATGGTTGGCATTAAAAATATTTAACACGTAAACGTCGTAAACGCGTTTAAATAGGTATTAACTATTGCAATAAGTTAGTTAACAAAAAATATAATATTAATTGAAAATTGATTTTTGTGTGAAAGGAGTAACAAACAATCGATTACAAAACCTACTAATTTTGATTTGCACACACCACGAAGAGTAAATGTCTATAATACATCTATGTATACAATAAAATTGAAGGGAACACCTTTTAAAAGTCATATTACACGTTCGCTATCCAACCTTATTATCAGGCGTAATCAGGAAGGTGGATGAAGCGGCAGAGGACCTGCCACTCGTGAAGCATATTTCAAAGGTCCTTAAAAAACGCCTTGTCAAATGCCCTAATAATATTGCACATAAGTATATGTGCACCGTTGTAATGTATAATATTGCTAGTGATAAAATTATAATGTTCAAGTGACTTAAAGCAGGTATTTAAAAAAAAAAAGCATCTACCTCAAATGCGCCTGAAACAAAATCTTGTCGTAAAAATGTTGTATTGATTTCGTGATGAAATCGGTTGGAGTTCTTCGTTTACAATATACGGCACTAAACGCTATATTATATTAAATCGGTTTGTTTAATGGTACGATATACCTACGTAGTATATCGTATTATATATTATACCCTATCGAACGGCGTCCGATATAAGTTTCGATTATAGATTGTTATTAGTATAATATAAACATTAAGTCTCCACGATGATTATACCGGAATCTTGGGTCTTATAATACATGTATCTGTCATGGTCGGGGGAGGAGGAGAAAGACAGAAGAGAGAGAGAGAGAGAGAGAGAGAGAGAGAGAGAGAGAGAGAGAGCGAGACAGAGAGCCCGGGGCAAAGTTTTGGACACACCGCGAGAACTTTTTGTTTTAGAACATATATACCTATTGTTTAGTCATCGCGTGTACACACACACGCGCGCTTATTCCTCATACTCACACGCACACACACGCACACACACACACACACACACACACACATATATATGTATTATTATACTTGGCTTTTCGGCCGGCCGGTATAACAATGCGCTCGCGATCAGAGCATGCACAATTGAATCGTGTGTGTACCCACATGACGATTATTGGGCTCGCGGCGTTAAAGATATACGTGATGTATTATATGTGTGCATACAGGGTGATTCACCTGCAGCACGCTCACCCCCCGTTTTTTACTTTGTTAATAAATGTCCAGAATTTGTAAGTAGATGCCAGCTATGTATATATTATACAGGGCAATATATGGGGCAAACTGGGCGCCTTTATTACGTTTCATCGACCGTATTAAATCACTGCGCGAGTTCGTATGACTAATTGAATAGCCGATATCATAGCCAACGTGTACCCACTGAACACAGTTTTATTTGCATAATTTAGTTTCTTTACTGCGTTACAGATTTATAACTATACATTTAGCTCAGTGAAAACGGCCATTGGACAATATGCAAAATTAAATTGAAATATGGTAACATGTAAAGTCATATTTTATTTTCATATCATAGATGTAATAATTAAGTAAACATTAATTTAAATATATATTAGGTACATTTTAACATTTAAGATTTTTATTATTTTTATAATTGACAAAATATATGTAACAAACAACAAACATTAAGACGTATTTGAGTCCAATAACATTAACGTCAATATCACAAATTTGCATTTATTATAAGCCATGAATATCGATAAGTAATAATAAATTGGGAACTTACTCCTTTCCAATTTTAGTCATTATAATACAATTTTAAAAATAATTAGCCAGTATTTCACACTTGACTAGGCGAGATGAAAGTGAAACAAAAATAAATAAATACAATAATAACACTATTTCAGTCTTAAAATTAACGAAAGTTGTTTGAGAAACCTCTTTTAAAATTAATCTTCCCCTCACATTTTCAGTCGGTTTTGGTAAAATAATGAAAACGTTTTCACTTTTAATTCTAAAAATATCTTCTACAGTTGGCCAAATAAATAATAAAGTTTTAGGTTAAAACAATTTAGGGTATTTAGACATATATTTTTTCATGACTATGACGTCATACCGCGCTGAATAAAATACACCGACTAGCGACATAATATACTTAAGGATCAAATGTCCAAGTACATCAATTTTATAAACCAATTAAGGTCTTATACTCTTATGAGTTATAGAGTATAATATCCTGTTGCGATACAAACTCCTTTTTACGAATGAGGAACACCCGTTTTTCTTGTAAATCGTTAATCTGAAGTTAAATTGTAAAACTTTTGGAAAATGTCGCGGAAAAATAATTATTTATAAACGAAATCTAGATGATGAGAAAATCTTAACTAAATTTCCAGTTTGTGTATTCAAAGTTGACTTTTAATTTTTGGGGAAAAAAATGTACGAATTGGGATGGACCGTGGCGATATTAAAAAATATCATATTTCGTTTGTCAGACATCGTGAACAACGCCTAAAAATTCGCCACTGACCACGCGCTGCAGCGTAGAATACTGTAATTTATATTATATTTATTGTGCGATATATATAATAATAAAACACTATTATTGTTTTTGTCGTTTGGTCGGTTACAAAACGGGGAAAGCGTACTGCAGCGGTGTTTTTCGTCTGACGTATTAATAATTATACACGAAAACGATTTATTTCAACAATATTGTTTTAACACAAAGGGCGGGCTTTTTCCGTTTTTCCGGGACGGCCGTGCGGGAAAACACCGCCGCGCTTTTCGTACGCAGTTTACCGCAATTTTGCATTATTCATCGAGTCATGCACGTTGTCCTGTGAGCTATATTATGTAATTATAATATCGTACGCGCGTATTATATTGACACAGACAGACGTGGCGATAAAACAATATTTATCCGCATAACGTCATCTGCTCCCATTGCTATACAATGTTATCTCTGTCTTTCTCTAGCCCTCCCTCAATTTATGTATAATATTCTGATATTAAATTTCTCGCAATTAAAATATTATTCCGTCCGTTCACACAGTTTCGGCGCATTTGTGCCGTACGGCGAGGAAACGACGGCATACACTGATGAATGATGACGATGTTGTGTGTGTATATAGGTACAATAATGGCACAATCGCGGTCGTCGTGTTGTTGTTATATTATTATCATCATCGTTGCCGTCGCGAAATTCTTTCGCTGTACAAACACACTCGCACAGTCGTAATGTATATTAAACGTATTATGTATGCGATTGTATTCTCTTCCCGTCGGTTGTCGGTGTTTGCGATGCGATTCTCCGTGACCACCCGACCGGAACAGGGCTACATCCGTTGTCTCTCCCAAACGTTTTCTCGTCAAACCCATCATATTTTTGACCCGCGGGAGCGCAGCAATTATAAACACATCGGTGGCAAAAACATGTTCTTCTGGGCGAGGTCCTGAAACTGTCTGTACCTATTGCCACCTGCACGGCTTATAAGCTCTCTCTTATATATAATAGTTGTAGGTATTTCGACGGAAGTTGAGGTGACTTTCAGTCACTATCGCAAAACGTGTTGGCATTTTTACAGCTTTTTTACGTTTATAGGTCGCATATATGTATATCGATAGTTGAGACGTACTATACGTTGTATACGTGTAAAATCGGTTTTGTCGTATTATATAGTTGTGTACTATAATATTGCATAACACATTTTATCGTACGTAATAACGCATAATATTATTATATTAATCGATTGTCAGAGTAATTTATTCAATAGTATGACACTATTTCACTATTATTATTATTTGGTTTTTTACGTTTCCTCCCCACACTCTCTCAACCACGCGTTATAACCTTCGCCACCGGTCGGTAAATAATAATAATATAATGGGTTGTGATTAGGTTTTTAACAAGCGTCACGAGCAAAATGAAACGGCGTCGAAATTGTTTTATTTACGCGTACGTGACTGTTGCAGCAGCATAATACGATACCTGTAATATACCTACAACTACCGTGGTCGAGGCGATAAATCTAAGAATTTATCGCCGCTCGTCGGCCGCGAAATCATTTCGGTCGTTGTTGTACACGCAGGGGCAGCGATAAATGAGAGCGAAGAGTGCACGCTACGGACACGACCAGTTGCAGTCGCACGTTTTCTCGGATTGTGTTTGCAGCTCAACGGTTGTAATGTTTCGAGTGCATAAATTATTAATAATATTAAAAACACGACGACAGTATGCAAAAAAAATTTAAAAAAACAGTAAAAAAAGAAACAATTAAATGTTTTGACCAACAGACTAATAATATAAACTATACTATCGGCTGATTCGGCTGTATACTTTCGCTGTACGATTTTGAATATATTTTTATGGTTGTGGCGACAAGTATAATATTATATTATTCGCAGTGTCATAATTTAACGGTGTGATGGGTGCACTCCTTGCCTAGACCCAACATTTTCATATTGCACTCGCTCATATTTTCGATTTACCATTCATTCGATATAGTCGCATAATATGTATTTATATTGATTTATAGTGTTACTAGTTTCAACCACGTAACTAACTTAAACAAAAATATAAACGTAATAATA